AAGCTGCAGCAAAGGCATGACCGACTCGATAAAGTGATGATTGAAAGAATTCACCATTTTAGTTTTATCTGAGACAACAGTGCTGTCAGATTTGAATGAATCTGGCACGTGTGAGGACTTTTGGGTGTTTTCCGGAGTCTTGACAGTCTGCCAGAACTTTTGGGGTCAGAACTACTCATCAGAAACTGGTTCTTATAATATTCAGATGCAGCTTTTCTGATTGACTGGGTGCATTAGTTCCTTATAGATCTGAAGGATTGCCAGTCCCTGATATCATCCCAGGCTGAAATGCTGCATGTGGCTCACATTACCCTTGTTATTCTAAACTAAATACAGAAATACATGATTACACAACATTCTTTCTGAGATGCATTTTAAGTTGTTTATACAGACAATTCAACTGTTATCAGAGTCATCTCTGCAGACTGCACCATGCCTCAGGAAGGCTCGCTGTGACATCTGAAGGTCCCTGTGAAGAGACGAGTCTCCTCAGGATCGTGATCCGGAGATCAGGCGGCTGCATCCTGCTACCTGATTCAGGCTTAACAAGACTCAAAAATGACACGTTCAGATGTGTTGTTTGTCAGTGCAACAAAGGTGCTGCTAGATGAGCTCTGGTTTACTGTAGCCTGGTGGCAACAAGCTCAGCTCACACATAGGTTTTACTTTGTCTTCTGGGTTATTTCTGTGCCTCCACCAGTGCTGATGGTGGGTACAAGCTGGCCTTTTGCTGTTGATTCTACCTCCACTCCAACCCTGTGTAGTGTGTTTTTATTTTATTTTAAGATAATTAAATTTAATAGCAAAAGTTTATTTATTGAATCAGAAGTTTAAAGGAATCTTTGCTTATTCAATAACCAAAAATATACACCATTCTGTATTTCATTTCAAAGAAGAGTCAGAGTTTTTAAAAAGTTAAGAATTTATTACTAACAATTTTTAAAATAACAATTTAAAAATGACAATTTTTAACAGCTTTGATATTAAAACTTGGTTTTAAGAGCAAACCTGTGACTGAATGGAAACTGAAATGAAATGCGAGGTTTTGGATGCGTGAATGAATCTCAGAAGTTTTCTTTCAGCGAGAGAAGCGTTCTGGGTGGTAAAGTTGGTTTTGCAGCTAACTGAGTCATTTCTTAGGAAAAACAGCATACAGATGCAATCTGTCAAAAGTGTCTACCTCAGCCAGCTCAGGAGACCCTTTTCTGGATCTGAGATGTCAGGTGGAGATGATGTCCTCCAGGCACGAGGTTGGAAGAAGGACCTTAGTGCGACCAAATCGGTCCTGAGATGTCTCCGTGGGTCACACGACTGATGAAACTATTTGCGTCTAAAAATCAATAACTCTGAAGGACTTTTTGCGTCAGCTGGTTACAGTTGTGTTTATTCTGAGCTATTCTATCGGCGTGACAGAATGCTTAGTGAAGACTTCGGGCGGCCGACCCTCGTTCTCTGGGATGGTTCAAGAACTGCCCTTACAGCTGCGGAGATTTAGTTTTAACAAAACCTCAGAACACGCCCACTCAGCGTCAGAAAGCTTGATGTCATGAATAAAGACATGTGAGATGGTTTAACCTTCACCCTGGATTCACCCTCTGCATGAGATGGTTAAAGTGCAAGATGACGTTCTGGTTTACTGAACACACATTACTTGATTATTATTATTACCCAAAGCATAATAAGTCATTTCAGTAATTAAAATACATTTATACTGAATCAAGAGAGTATTTATGATGGTTGTAATAACAGTAATAAAGTCAAGAGTTTATTAAAATTATTATTTAAAATTATAATTGTAAAATCTTGAAGTGTCCTTCATCTTGGGACGGAACAGCAGCAGATAAAGATGGTTTCAGCAGATATCACGGCTCCTGGCGGGTTAATCTGTGGGACAAAGTTACAGTTCGACCCAGCTTGACCCAGCTGGGAAACTGTGACTTTGTCATAAATTAGAGGCCATTCATGACGCTACACCTGCTCATCCTCAGCTATAAATCTTCTATTACAGCTTTTAACTGTGGATGCAGCGTGTTGCTGTGGTGGCGCTTTGATAGTGCGTCAAACTGCAGATGATATTTCACACAGCTAATTTATGCACTTCACATTGCATTTAGTAGGTCTGAACCGCTCAGAGGTTGCATCGAGGATTCGTAAAGAAAACGTTTATCTAGATTCACACAAGCTGCAGACGAGCACGGTCCACCACGCTTCAGTCAGGGCAGACAAACTTAAGCTAACCGTTAGGATTCGGGTTTGGTGATGATATCCATACAACTATTGATTAAATATCATAAAATAAGTTTCCACGTCGTTTAATAATCATCTTCCTCACATTCTGTTCCAGGTGCTAATGGACCCTACATGATTCATTAATGATGAACATTTTTGTGAAGGCTAACAGGTCAGGGTTAGCATGCTGACTTTAACCGTTAGCCATTGTCACTTACCTACACAGATTAACTAGCACAACCGTCAGCTCTGATTATCACTTAGCTGAGTAATTAGGTCCTCATCTGGCTGGAGGCAGATGTTTTACGGCGAGTCCGTGTTTGGATTAAACGGCACATTTGTTACCTCCTTCAGCGTTTTGACTCCAGATAATTTCACTTGAGGGTCTGGAATGTTCTGGGATGTTTTCATGTTCCCAACAGTAACTCAACGAGAACCAGAGATAACTCAATAAAAAGCAGCTAGATAGTAAGAGCCACGCAAATCTCCACACTTATACTACGATGGTGCAGATGCTTTTGAGTGATGTCAGCTAGCGGCTCCCAAAGCTCTGATATCTGAGATGGAGCAATCCTCTCTCCTCCACTTCCTCCTCTTAATCCAGAGCCGAGGGGGTAAAGTGGGATAGATCGATCCCGAGCAGCCTCGACTCACTCTCCCAGCTGATCCCAGAAGGTCTTTCTCTGGAACTGGCCCATTTCTTTCAGTCAATGCTCCCTTCAGCTTAGGAATGGGCGACATGTGGCCGCAAATTCTGAAGCGCTGCGGTAACCATAAACATCATCACCTTTTCTTCTGCTTTTACATGTAAAACGGTTTCCGAACAATCTTACAATCCAGATGAGCTGCAGAACAAATAATCCTGAAAAGTTTATAAGAAATTTCATTATAAATAATTATTATAAATTACATTTAAATTTGAAATCTTATTGAAACTGCGCTCAGATCAGCTGGTCTATGCCAGTCTGGCACATCAGCACAGAGAAAGAGAGGAAGAGGGAGAAGACTAGATCTGTTTAACTCAATGGGACAAATAGTTGAACTTGGGAAGGACTGTGAGGGAAAACTGTTCAGACTGAATCACAGGAGACGTCCAATAACCCATTAGTGGTCATCATGTTAAAAAAACAACAGTGTTTAAGAGATCTAGCGCTAGCCAATTCTTCTTCCGCCTCTTGGTGTGTGCAGATGTTTTTTTTTCCTCCTCTCCTCCATATCTTATCCTCAAGGCTGTCTGTCTGTCTGTCTCTGTGTGCTGACTGCATTTTTCTGGAAACTGGAAACTGAAATACATTTAAATGGATCTTGTCAGCTGGTCTCTCAACGCGATTGATACAATTTTTTCAACGATGAGAACAGGGAGAAAGGGCTCCCGGATGCCCTGCCAGTACAGACCCAGTTGGACACATCATGGACTCCTGGAAACAGTGGAACTTGATTTGTCTATCTCAGCTGTCTGTGGAGGACTCTGAAGATGTGTGGATATTCGTGGTGATGGTGTCCGGTTTCCTGCTCATTGGCCTTGGAGGCTACCTAGATTACCGTAAAATTAACGAGCTGTCGAGGAATATTGGCCTGATCCCGGAGCTCAGAGATGGTTTGCACCGTTCTGTGAATTCACAGACTCACATAATTGTCGAGATGAACCGTAAGCTTGGGACTTTGGCGGAGATTCATTCTTTGGCACAAAAGATGGATGCCATCAAGGATAGAGTGTACAAATCAGCACTGATTGGGATAGATTAACGTCCATTACTATTGGGATTCTGAGAGGTTGAGGACCAACAAACTGTAAGACAGAGAGGAAATTATCTCTGTCTGGCCCCAAAATAATTTCTAATCGGAATCTGGCGTCCTTGAGCCTGCAAGGCTCCAACGAATACTCCCCCCTCAGAAGATATGTGGAATGTGCTGTTGCTATGGCAACTAAACTCTGCCTCCTTTCCCAGCCTGGGCGGGACAGCGGAAGGCCGACGAAGCCTCCAGGGTCATTGCAACCCTCCAACCCTCAATGCTCCCCCCCATCCACTCTGAGGTGACATGTGCTGCTTATCGTGGCTGCAGGAACTGAAGTAGGGATAGTCCTAACCCACCACCCCACCTAGTGGACACTTATGTTGTGCTGTCTGAAGTCTGTTGCATATCTGTCTGAGGTGTTTTTTGCAGAGCAAAGCTGCCCTCCTGGAGGGAGGGTAACTTTGAAGTGCCTTTTTTCCCCCTCCACCTGAACCAATCCTCATGTAAACCCCTCTGATCTCTATTAAGGTTGCGAATGACCGCAGTCACCAATTCTTGCCATGTGTCTTGCCCAAGTAAAATCTCTGAATTGTGTGTACTGAAACTCTAATTTCCCTCTGGGATTAATAAAGTATCTTTGATTGATTGATTGATTGATTGATTGATTGATTGATTGATTGACAAGCTTTGACCTAAATCCACGCGCTCTGCTCTGCAGCAGCTGATGCATTTCCTCCAGAGCTACCACAGATTGACAACATTCATGCAAAAGCGGGTGAAGCTCTAAACTCTCTCGCTCCTCGTCAACAAGCATAACCAGTTAGCCGGTAGTAAACGATTCTATATCCTAGGCCTAGCTGTACCGCTCATACTGCATTACTACTTCAGCCACATGGCCAGTAGAGGGCCTCTGCCCAGGGAGAGTCTCCTGATGACACCAGTCTGTCTGCCTGTGCCTCATGGACCTCCTGGGTCACCTGATACCTCTCAATCTTCTCATGTCTCTGTGTCCTCCCGTCTGTGACATCTCACAGGTCCTTGCTGGTGAGGAGGCGGACATCACCTCCACCATCCTAAGCACCGAGGATGCCGACACCCCTGCAGAGGAGCTGGTCTACCATATTGAAGAGCCAACCAATGGGAGGTTGGCTCTGAAGGAGGCGCCTGAGGAGATCATCTTCAACTTCACCCAGGCCCACGTGAACAAGGGAGAGGTTGTCTTTCTTCATGAGGGTGAGGAGTTGTTACTTTTAATAAATTTTCAATAGCTTATCAAGTATTCAATAAAATGTAATATTCCATAGAAATATGGATTATCAATATTATTGAACCATTGATATTCTACTGATGATGAAACAAGGTGGTTAATCCAGGGAAACAAAACTTTATACTAATTTGACACAGAGACAAAAATATAGTTTATAAAAATCTATTTATGATATATTTCTATAATCAATGATGGTAAAAGACAAATGATTATGAATGGTGATGAATACACATGGCCTTGAGTGTTTTGGGAGTTTCACTAAGAGACTCAGACAGGTGTGATGTCTGAGTTTATAAAATAAATGTGGCTGTTTGTTTCATGTAATCTAACCAGTTATCAGATTAATATCAACCACTCTGAGGCCACTGAATAGCCTACGCACCAGGATGGTGGAAGTTCCTTGGAGATCAGGTCTCAGCAGAGTGAGCGAGTGGACCTCTGATGTATCCGAAGGTCGCAGGACCCCTGAGAATACGCACGACTGGTAGAAAAGATACTTTCCTGGGTGGCTTCTGGCGGACGGTTTCACGTCTGATGAGTTGGTCGTGGATTGAGCAAATAATAATTGTTGATCTAAAAAAAGACGGTTCTTCAAGCCGCTAAAATTACTTCACTGAATGATCTGGTTGATTCCCTGCTGGATGGTCATTTGGCATGAGCTCTGAAACTCAGAGCTCTGGTGGAACTGTAAAATGCAAAAACAGGAAGTGATTTCACTATTAAGAAGCATTTGTTTATAAACTTGGACCAACCAGATGGGAGAAATTTGAAGAGGCGTTAACCTAAGCGTCATCACATCTGAACAAGAAACTCCTCTTCTTTTCCTCCTCAGGTGAAGAGTCTGGAGGTTTTAGCTTCACCGTAACAGATGGAGAGCACACATCTCCTCTCTACCCATTTGTCGTGACAGTCAGGCCTCTCACCATCACCATAGTAACTAAGGAGGAGCTGGTGATGTTTCCAGGTGAGAATCAGATTTTCAGCTGTGACTCTTTAAACAGGCTGAGGGAACTCAGGCTGAGGCAGAAGGACAGGAGGATGCTGGAGACACCTACTTGTTTAGACTGACCAACACAACTTCATACCTCTTGTCTGGACCACCATGAAGATCCAGCCTGTTTGCTGAAGGATATAAATCACCTTTAAAGTGATAGAGTTACTGGTTTAGCAACATATTATTGTATGCATGTGTGTTTGTGTGTGTGCGTGTGCGTGTGTGTGTGTGTGTGTGTGCGTGCGTGTGTGTGTGTGTGTGTGTGTGTGTGTGTGTGTGTGTGTGTGTGTGTGTGTGTGTGTGTGTGTGTGTGTGTGTGTGTGTGTGTATTTTCACAGGAACACGACAACCCATCACAAGAGCCAATCTTGCAGCTAAAACCGATGAGGATGGGAATGAGATCAACTTCCTGCTCGTCCGTCCTCCTCGTTTAGGGAGGCTCCTCTTAGCCAATGACAGGAACCAGTTTGAAGAAATAAACCAGTTCTCCCAGTCACAGGTAGCTCACACACCACACTTGCTTATGCCGTGGTTTCTGATGGGGTTTGGGGGGAAGAGCCGTTGGTAGACAAAATAAATGTTTAAAGTTTAAATAAACTACTTTCAGTTTAATAATTAACACAATCAGTTTTACAGTTAAAAACAAAACAGAGGGGAAGACGTAATTGTCGATGCGCTTCACCTGCTCGTGCGCACGATCCTGCTTCTGCTCTCTGTTCCCTGGCAGATGTCCTCCTCCCGCCGCAGCACCACAGGCGCATTCTCTCTAAATGCGCAAAAGAGGCGTCACTGCCATGAAGCACACTGCACCCTCAGCTCCCTCAGCTCTGGCATGAAGAGAAAAAAAAGCGACAAGTTTTCTGACACCATGCATGCTCCCACAATAACTGACGGCACCTGACCAACCAGTGGTCAGGTGTGGAAGAGATGGCATCCAAACAGAAATATAGATAAGGAGCAAGCACAAGAAGGAAAACATAAACCAGAGGAGTGTGTTGAAAAGCTTTGTGTGCATAAACATCCCAGCTGCTGCTCATGAGACAGAAGAGAGAATAATTGTGTCTGGATGTGGACTGGAGATGGAAGTTTACAGCAGCATCAGTGTCATTTATTAAATTCTGTTGTTTATTTCTATAGCAACAAATCACAACAAGTCGTCTCAAGGACCTTCACACAGTAAACATTCCAATACAGGTCAGTTCATGAAGCCAGTCAGTAAAAAGTTTCCTATATAAGGAACCCAGCAGGTTGCATCGAGTCACTGACTAGTGTCAGTCTTTACAGCAATCCTTGGGTTTATCTACAGCACAAGAACACCTGAGTAGCCTGGCTGTCATCAGCTCAGCTCAGAGGTAATCAACCGCCGCCTGTGATTGGTCAGGAGTAGAGAACCCTGCTCTCTGATTGGTCGACGAGAATCTTCTTCAACTGAGCAAATGTTTCCTCTCTGGTGCTACACTGCCCCCCAGTGGAAAGGTCACAAATAAACTAGCAAACGCCTCATTAAAAGGGATTTATTCTTTCAATCTATTTAGAGCTTAAAAAGCCAGAAGAGACAGTCTTACACAACATGCCTATTTTTACTGTCAAAGACGCGAGAAAAATACATGTTCCTGAAATTTTAAACCACACTGAACAGAAAATTAATAAAAAATCAGCTGTTTAATTTAATCTTCATTTTTTTTATGCATGAACATTTGTTGAGGGCATATAAAGTAGACAATTTTCAACAACTAGAAGGGAAAAAAAACTGCCAAAACTGGAGTAGTATGCTCCATCTTTCTCATCCCAGAGAGCAGAGGTGCAGCCATATTCTGCACCAACTGAAGACTAACAGAGATGAGACTGGGAAACACCAAAGTACAACCAACTACAGTAATTAAGTCTTGAAGTAATAAAATCGTGAGTTGCTGTCTCAAAAAATTTTTTCAAAAGTAAGTTTTTTACCTTTGGTGACCCTTCTCAAATGATAACTAAATTTAGTCACTGCACTGATTTGCCTGTCCAAGATAAGATCCCTGTCCAAGCCAACCCTCGGGGATGTCTCTTTAGGTTTCTAAAAAGATGCAAATGGACCGAGGTCCAGTCCCCAGACGAGACAATGGGCATTAACTACACACCTATGTTTCCTTTTCCATAAAAAGAAGGAAGTTCGAAAACATCCATTTTCTAACCTCACCAAGATATTCTGAGAGGGAATTCAAAGACGGATGATGACCTCTGTTAAAGGGGATGTATTGCTGAGTATCATCTGCATAGCAGTGGAAATGACACCTGTTTCCTGAAAATCAGACCCAAAGGCAGCAGATATCATGAAAACTACGGGCCTAATACAGAACCCTGAAGAACCCCACAAGTGAATGAAGCATAAGAGAAGTGATTTAACAATTAATGTCTGAAATCTAGAGAATATTCCTGCTACATTCATGTAAAAATTTATTAATTAAACCTGAATATTACAAACACTGAATAAACAAACCTCATACTTGGAATATGTTTAAAAAAATAAAAAAGAGTCAGTCATTTTTTGAGTACAACAGTTTATTATAGTATTGATCCAAAACAAAAATCCCCCCCCTCCCCCCGAACCCCTGTAATTTTCCCACCATTCATCTTTAAATGCTGATCACACTCCCATGAAAGAGGTGCCAAGACACTGTTAAACCAGAGGTAAATCACATTACAAATAGAAATGTCCAAAAAAGTCTCTGAATGCTGTAGGGTTGTTGGAAAGCTGTAGGTGATTTGTGATGGTAGGCCCAGGCACCCCTTCATGTCCTCGCATCTCCAGCCCAGAACTAGAGTTTCATCTCTAGATATCCGCATAAATGATCTCATGGATGACTTATCAATAAGAAAAAGGAGACATGCCTCTTCCATTGTTGAAAGACGCTAATTTATTCTGTGCCTACTAAGTTGTAAACCTAAATGACCCCGATGATGCAGTCATGTTGCAATGGAGAGGGCCTGAAATCCCCCTTGAAACAAAATCATTGTAGGCCTCCAGACATTTGAAAGCCTTTAATTTTCAGGAGTGACGGTGCAGAGTTTTCTGTTAAGTAAAAATGAACATCTCCCCAGCAGATTGGTGAAAAATTAAAAACCGAATCGGACTAACGTTTTCCGTCATCCCAGAGCTCATGTGGGCTTTTAATAACTTTAATTTAGTCTTCAATCAGCGTCTGTCTAAACCTCCTCCTGTCTGGATGGTAAAGTGTTTACACATCAGGGTTTTAAACGTACACTTTCTGCCACCCAGCCACTCGTGCATGCGCACAAAGATGAAAAATATGTCAACAAAGAGCTGGGGTTGTGTTGGTTCAAATACATGCACTAAACACACACATGTGCATAATCTTTGATTCTGCACACAACAAAACAGCATCAACAGGAAAAGAGCAGCTGCTTGTTAAAGTCAAGTAGAAAGATACAAGCTGTTAATCCTGTGTTACCATGCAGGCCCTCGTACATGTGTGTGTTAGTGTGTTCAAAACTTTTTTCAGAATCATTATAAAGATTATTAGAGTAAAATGAGTCTCTGATTGTACGTTTCTTAAAAATTAAGTATATAATTGAGTCAGCCTTCTAGATCCCATCTACTGTATCAGTGGTTCCTGTTTCACTCATTCATCTGTAAATGAACAAAACCAGCCTGATACAGCCAACACACACACACACACACACACACACACACACACACACACACACAACCTGACCAGCAGCGAAACTGAACTCACCAAAATAGATTTTAACTCAGCTCAGTAAACTTGTTGATGGTAGAGAGGAAATCCAGCTCCCATATTCCATCATCATCAGAGGGGAATTTTCAGAGACATTTTTTTTCCAGACAAGTTTCGGAGTTTAGTTGTTTGGGTTCGGCTGGGTTAGACAAACTGGAACTGCTGAAGCTGCAACTGCAGTTTAGACTCAGCCTCCTCTACACAGAGGACCACAGGGAAGCATCGGCATGGCTGGCCATGCTAGCTGCAGCTGCGCATACTCACGTCTTTCTTGTGTGTTTTGTTTGCCATCCAAACATTTGTGCAGAACTAAAAGGCTTACTAGCTTTTCTCCACTAAAAAGCTAAACTAGATGGTTCATCACTGATGACATATAAACTTGATTGGATCAACAGATTTCCCAGCATTCTTTGTCATTTTGTAAATGTTAGGGTTTAATTAAAGAATTGAATTAAAGAATAATTAAAGAACTGATAACATCTCTGAATGGGATGGTGAAAACTTCCATGACCACTTACTTTGTTCAGCTGATTGCTGTAAACAAAAATAACTCTAAAGTCCTGTTTGACACCATAAACCAGACTGTTTCACCTCACACCCCTCTTATGTCAGTTTACTCAAGGTCTGACTGTAACAACTTTCTAGCAGTCTTTGAGAATAAAATTTGAAATATCAGGGCAAGTTTTTCACCCCATCTACTTCCTCCCCCCCCCCCCCCCAATCCAACCCCTCCCTCCCAATCATGGACTGCCTTGACTCCTGTAGATTTCCAGGACATTTGCTTAATTCAGAAACACATGAAACCAACTTCAGGTATTCTTGACATCATTCTTACCACCTTGTTCGTTAAGATGTTTGACCAAATTATGGATTTTACTAATTGATCTCAACAATCTGGCTCTGTTCCCTCACAACAGTTTTGATAAATTCCAGTCTGGTTTTGGTGAAAAGCATTCAACAGAAACAGCTTTGCTTAAAGTTTCCAATGACACCATGATGGCTGCAGACGACGGGGGGTTCACAGTGTTAGTATTGTTAGATCTTTCTACAGCTTTTGACACTGTTGATCACAACACCTTAAAGCTTCTTTTCGGAGTATTTCTCTTATCCGATGGCACCATCTAGTGGCTGACAAGCATATCACACAAAAAATCTGTTGCTCTCTTTTTTTAAGATGGCGACTTCATGTTTCCGTTCACAAATGTGCTTCTGTAGCCGACAAACAGCTAAAACACGTTGTTTTACAAGTATCATTTTTATGTCATGTTGTGTTTTCATATATCTATATTTTATAGATGTACTTGTAAGTTCATCAACTCTGCAGCCGAGGTATTCCTTAAATTTGAAGCATTTAAGTGGTAGTCTAACGCTATTGGTTAGTTCTGGTCAGCGCTCAGTATCCTATTATACGGAGCTCTGTGGGGCAGGGGGCGTGCTTAGCAAAAAAGAAAAAAGTATTGCTTACATTATATCACAGTACATGATGAGACAATTACTTTTACGAATTTCTGAGAAATCATACATCATTTCTGAAAAGGTAAAACTCCAGAAAGCAGCTTTAATTAACAGACTTGGTGACTCAGTGGGGATCTCTGGAACTATTCTAGACTGGTTTAGATTGTACCTCCTAACAGAAGTTACAGTGTCTGAATAAACCTAATCAAGTTAGATTCTACCGATCTGTATTGTGGGGTACCCCAAGGCTCTGTTTTGGGTCCACTGTTGTTTCTGCTGTACATACACCCTCTTGGACAGATGATTGATTATTTTTATAATTTCTATTATCACCTGTATGCAGATGATATTCAGCTGTACTCCTCCTTTAACCATCTCAGGCTCAAAATAAGTTTTGATAAAAGGATGAACAACTAAGTCCTTCAAAGTACTTCTGAGTTAAAAAATACTCATGACTTATGTGGAGTAACCAGGTAGGTAGGTTTTAACTGTTGCAAATCTGCAACGCCTGCCTCCAGTGGGTCAAGGATTCTGAGTTCTACAAACTGTCTGAATTACTAGAGTGTCTATCAGCTATCACCAGCTGGCTAGAAGATAACTTCCTTCAGTGAAACTCTGAAAAGACTGAATATCTGATCATTGCCCCTGAGAGCACGGTTCCCCTGATTAGTCTAAAGCTTGGTCATTCATCCACTGCCGTCAAGACGAACTTAAGGAATTTTGTTGTTTTCGTCCAGTCAATGTCTCTTGAAGGCAGCTCAATAACATTTGTCCAAAACTGTTTTCATCACTTAAGAAATATCTCCAAACTGCGAAGGTTGGTGTCAAAACATGAACTAGAAATGGTTCTCCATGCCTTTATCTCCTCCCGTCTAGATTATTGTAACACACTCTTCACATGTTTTAAAAAAAAAGCCTTTGAACACCTTCAGTTGGTCCAGAACTCTGCAGCGAGGCTCCTAACTGGAGCTAACAGAAGAGCACTCCTCACTCCTATTCTGAAGTCTCTGCACTGGTTACCCGTTAACTTTAGAGTTCATTTTAGAATCCTGATTATAACTTTCAGGGCTCTACATGGTCAAGCTCCTCCCTATATTACTGAACTGTTAAAGCCTTATGCTCCAACCCGAGCACTCAGGTCCACACACCAGAACCTTCTAAAAGTTCCAAAGACCAGATATAAAAGTCGAGGTGATCACTCCTTCCAGACTGTAGCACCCCGTCTTTGGAATGATCTTCCTTTATCCTTATCTAGTATTGACAGTCTGGACACTTTAAAAAACAGCTGAAGACTATTTTATTTAAAGCTGCTTTTAAATAAATGTTTTATTTTCTTATTTTTAACTCTAATTTTTAATCTTTCATCTGTTTATGAAATTTTTTAATTTTATGACTTAGTTTTTATCTTTATGATTTTATGACATTATTTGTTTTGTTTTGATCTATGTGAAGCACCTTGTGATTTTCTGTGTGATGAGTGCCATATAGATAAAACGTACTTACTAACATTATTATTATTGAACCAACAAACGGGCCAGAAAAGGACCAGTGGGGGGGTGGGGGTGGGGTGGGGGGTGGGGGAGGGCTGGCACCATAACTGAGATGGTGGAGATAGTAATAAAAATAGCAGGAAGTTTTATCTGTTGATTTAAAAAAGCATTCTCATAGAAGAGCTGATGTAGAAGTATTCAACAGCTAGCTAGATATGCATGTTTTATCTGTTCTTCTGTGTAAAGCTAAAGAACCTGGACTGGATTATTGTTCCTTTAAACTTGCTTTCTGATATAGTGAAACTTCCAGAGAAGGCTGCCCCTCCTCATTGAAAAAGAATGATCATTAGTGCCATTTAGGTTTAAAACTTTGTAGGCTTGATTAAATAAACAGCCTATTTCAACAGTGGAAGAAGACGCATCTCCTTCTCATGGATTGAAAGTCATCAATGAGGTCATCGATGCTGTGCTGCTTCTGAGCTGAGCTGATGATAATCTCAGACAGACAATATGGGTGGTTTTGTTCATATTGTAAACACCAATATTAATACTTTGGATTGAAAGGCTAATATAAGATGCAGGTGAAGGTTTAGGCTTTATAAATGACAATCAGGGCTGCTGTAAAATGTAATCCACATCCAGACAGAATTATCCTCTCTTCCGTCTGATGATCAGCAGCAGCTGGGATGTTTAATCCCACAAAGTTTCTTCAACAACATGCCCACTTTTAAATAAAGCACTGGTCTTGTTTTGTTTTGATATTTTTTTTCTTGTTTCTGTTTGGATGTCATCTATCCATATGCCTGTCGGCACATTTAACCACTGGTTGGTCAGATCATTGCGGGAATGTACAAGATGTTGGATAACTTTTTTTCTCTCCTCTGCCTGAGCCTACAGAGCTGTACGCATGGTCCATTTTCTACAGTCACTGTGCACCTCACGATGTTCCTTCTCCTCATGCCAAAAATGCAAAGCCTCATGGGGCCCGAGTCCGTCATATCGGGAGGGGATATTTGACAGCTGGTGTTTGAGTACGGACAGATATTTTATCAAAAATCTCGGAGATTTTGACTAATAAATGAGTGGAAAACGCAAAATTAGAAGTGATGGTACTGGCCCACTGTGAGTGGAGGCTGGACGTTGCTGCAGCCTGCTTGATCTTACAATGGGACGGGGGAGGGGTTAAGGGCAACACCTGTCCTAGAGCACACCGGCCATTCTGGTCCTCTCCAGAACCCACAGATGACCAGTCCACCACTGATTTTACTTCTAACTTATGTACTTACTTTTCCATAATAAAGGTTCTGAAACCCCAGTGCTATAGGGGATGCTGCAGAATCTTGTAAGTGACCTCAGAGAGGGAACTGAGGCCATCTAACCCCTGATCCTAGTTCAGATCAGCCAAACCACGGCTTTCATTTCTGCACCTCAGAGGGATGGAAGATGGTCAAAGTCATTTTCCAAAAAAAACAATGTCTGTTTTTATCCTGTCAAAGTGAAAAACTCCATCTTAAGGTGCAGCCAGAATAAAAAGTGTATAATCAACTAAAATGAGCGGATGGAGGTTTGTTCTGTAATAAAACGTGTGAGGCCTGCTTTAGGAATTGACGATTATGTTTTATTTGACCCAACTATCCTCACTAGTTTCTTTCTCACCCTTGATGCTCAGCTGGAGTCGGGAGTGGTGTACTATGAGCACCAGCTCCCCAACAAGCCTTTCTGGGTGGTGAGGGACTCCATGGAGTTTGCTGTGTCATCCCAGCCAGCTCCAGACGTCCGACACGCTCTGCCCATCACCGTCTCCTTTTATGCAGCTCACAGCAACATCTCCTCACAGCTGTGGAGGAACACAGGTAAAACACCACAGTTCCAAACACTAATGACAGGAACACTTTTGGGTTAGGGTTTCTGTGATTGGTTTGTCCAACAACAGCGGGGTGGATGGGATTTCCACTGTCTCCTTCGCTCTCATTAGCCACGTTTACATGGACACAATTAATTGGATTGAACACCCAATCAGATCAAAAATTCTGCATGTAAACATCAATCGCAATGTTCTGATTCGATTTGGCCTAATCAGAACGAAATTTCAATCCGATTGAGAGAGGTGGTTTTGTCTGATCGTCATTCCATTTTGTTGGAGTAAAATAAAGCCCACTGCACATGTGTGCAACAGCCAGCGAGCCTCCCTGCCGTCATTTAGACTACCTGACTTGAATAAATGACGGCCTAATTAACGAGCGCTGGTTTTTAAATTTGATAGCAAGCATCCCCGTTTCTGTAATATCTCATCCAGAACTTGCATTTTGTGGAAGTAAAATAAATATCTGATTATTGCACAAATCATTTGACAAACATGCTCAAGTCTGTAATGGAAACACGCAGGTTAATTTCGGGTTTTTAGCACAGATCTGTTTTTGTGAACGCAGCAGCTGTTTCTGCAGCAGGTGGATGGAGACGTGCTCCTAAAGAAGACAGGATAGCATTGGTTATTCAGACCTGGTTTGGGTTTAAGGAGGCTGATGTTGAGTAGAAAAACATTCATAGTTAAATATCCAGTCAAACTATCTGTGTAAAAGCACGTTGACGTTAAGGCAGACCCACCAGAAAAGGTCTACCCCACTGCTATGCAGGCAAAGATTCGCTTCACCACGCTGACCCAACAATGGATCACATGCTCGTGTGAATGCAAACTTGCTGATGGCAGGGGAGGACTGGGACCATAATTCAGCCTTGTGTGCATTAGGCCTGATTTATACTTCTTTGTCTGTGTTGGTGTGGAGACACGGAACGCCACAATGCGTCAGTGCAAGGGCAGAGACATTCCCAACTTTTAAAATATCCCTAAAAATTTACCCCAAACTTGTGATTGGGCAGGACACCGCCTTCATTTAAGTGGGAGTCAAGGCGTGGGCTGACTTATTTCAACCACTTCCTGTGAAAAATACCTGGGAAAAAGGCAATGCCTGGGGGACTGAAAGAGCGGCACTGAGGCAATGACTAGCAGCACCCCTCTCAACCCCCCATGTGCGCTCTTGGAGTTTCTCAGTCGGAAAAAAAACTTGGTAACAAGAAAATACGTGGGAGGTGCCTTGCAGCCTGGCCTTGGTAAAAAATTTCCCAGAATACAGTGCGATACTTTCATAAGGATGGTGGATCAGGAGCTGGCAGCTACTTCAGGAAACATTTCCAGTTTAAATGTAAGTTAACTAATTGTAGTTGTTGGGCTGATATCTAAAATGTTTTTTTTATCCAAAGCAGTTAGCTATAGTTGTTTTGTTGCTTAGTAGTTGCAGCTTCGGCGGCTAGCAGGTATTTAATTTAAATAATATATACCCAATTAAGTAAAAGGCTCGTTATACATTTCTATTGAAACTTATATGTATAAAATATAGTTACCTTACGAGTCACATGACATAATCTACACAGAAGCCGTGGTCATGTGATGTAAGTCTGTTCCATTTACCGTTTTCTTTGATCAAGGAAGGACAGTGTCCTTGTAAACAAGACGCCTGACCTCACAAGACATCGCCTCGCAAAGCCAGGCGCCTTGACACCCAATGTGTTAAAGGGAGACTAGGCTTGCTTTTAGCACCCCCTAGTGTCCTTTTGTAGAACGATCTGAGGAGAGAGCATGTGCTGACGGCCCAATCGCCAGACACACGGCGGCGTTTTGAAGCGGATGGCAGCTTGTTAATCAACTTCCACAAACAATTAAGACAGATTTTCGCCTAATTTACTCTCTGACAACGCAAAAAATGTAATAAATCTAGTAAATATAACACACTCAACCTGGAGGTAAGCGGAGAAAATTTAGAAAATTTGCAAATATATATTGACGAGGTTTTTGAGCTTTTTGTCATGGGACCAAAGAAAGCAGCAGCAGCTGAGACGGAAACACCTGGGACCAAGAGGAGCCGTCCCCAGGACTCGCCCGAGGCCTCATCTCCCCATAAGGATGTCTTAGATTAACTACAGTCCATAGATAAACGGCTTCTGGGATTTGAGGGACGACTCCACCTGCTAGAGGTGCTTCACAAGGAGTTCCAGGACCTCCGAACATCTCTGGAGTTTAGCCAGGAGCAGGTGGAGCGGCTCGCGGCTGAGAACGCGTCTCTGCGGGAATCTGTTTCCTCCTTGACTGCAGGATTAGATCGGATCTCCCAGGACAACAAAGCTCTAAAGGAGACGGTTCTGGATCTCCAATCACCCAGCATGAGAGATAACCTGGTGTTTGCAGGCCTTCCAGAGCAGACCGGAGGAGAAGCGGAGGATTGCGAGCAAACCATCAAGAACTTTCTCCACACCCACAAGAAGATACCTGAGGAAACGGTTAAAAACATCACCTTTCATCGGGTACATCGCCTTCGAGCCAGAAGAACAGACAGCAGAAGACCTCGTCCCATCGTGGCTAAATTTGAGCACTTTAAGCAGAAAGATCTTGTTAAAAGCCGCGGGAGAGAGCTTAAAGGTAAAGACTACAGCGTAAACGACCAGTTTCCTAAAGAAATTCTGGATCGCCGCCGAGTTCTCTTCCTGCTGCTCAAGAAGTTCAGCAGGCTGTGATCTCCGTGGATAAACTGTTTGTTGACGGTAAGATCTACAAAGAACGAGCAGTAACAGACTGGCTTTATTAGAACAACTTCAGGTACAACTTTATTATTATTAAAAGCACTCACTGGGTTTGAACATGTCAGGATTTATAGCTGCTAGATCCATTTAGAAATGTTCACCTGTTCCTTCACCAACTCACACCCACAACACTTTTTCTTTTCTTTCTTCTTTTTTCCTTTTTTTAACCTTTATAATTCCTTTCTTTCCCTTTTTTTATCTGCTTCTGGGTCTTTACATCTGCATTGCACAATTTTTTTCCCCTCTTTCCACACTGCAGCACACAACTTGCGCGCGCGCACACACACACATGTAGACTCCATACGCAGTCACACGGATAAGTAGCCTAAGACGTTTCATTGCACAATCAAAACACTGTTGGGCTTGTCTTGTTATTGTTATTATTCTTAGGGATGAGCGAGTACACCACTATCTGTATCTGTTCAACCAACTAAATTATTTGTATCTATATCTGTACTCATAATGGGATTGGCATAACCCGGAAAAGGGCGTGGTTTAACCGGAAGTGGGTGTGGTTTACATCAATAAATTATTTTAAGTCTGAAATTGATGTGGATTGATCAGAAGTTGGTATGTGTATTGTTTATTTGAAAACTATTTACAGAGCAGCCTCAGAATTGAGATTAAATATTTTTGATCACAATAGTAAAGAAACTATTACAGAACAAGTTTTTCAATAAAATCAGAACATTAATATTTAAGTGCATGAATTAATACATCTGAACTCATGCAGTAGGAACTAGGAAATATGAAATGCTAGAACCAGACACAACTTTATATATATATTTTTAATTTTAATTTGACTAAACTAATTTTTTTCTTAACGTTCTTGGCATTTACCCCCACACATAGTTAAACAAAACAATGTTGATTAAGGTGTGTGTGAGTGTGTGTGTGTGTGTGTGTGTGTGTGTGTGTGTGTGTGAGAGAGAGAGAGAGAGAGAGAGAGAGAGAGAGAGAGAGAGAGAGAGAGAGAGAGAGAGAGAGAGAGAGAGAGAGAGAGAGAGAGAGAGAGAGAGAGTTAAAAATTTTTTTAAAAAAAACCCGACCGGAGCGGAGTTAGTGACTGATGCAGCACGTCAGCTCTGTCTTGTCAAATGCACCATGTATGTTACGAAAAAAGTAACTTTAAATATTCAACCGAAAATGAGGCGAGCTGAAGAAAGCCTAGGGACTACTGAAGAAGAGTGAGCAACAGTGAAGCAAGCACAGAGAGATCCGTTGCTGTCTGTGTGTGTTCGTGGATGAGCCGGACGGACTGTGCTCCCGGCCGGCTGCAGTTTTGTGTGTAGGGAGGGGCGGGCGCTCTATGTGACTGGCCAATCAGAGAGCGTGAAGACAGTCAGTTACCCAATGAGGATTTTCCTTCAGTACGATTACAGATATTAACGAGTTTTACTCGTTTCATGCTCGTATTCGTCAAAAATGCTTTATCCGTACGGATACTCGTTTCAGACGAGTATCTGGCTCATCCCTAATTATTATTATTATTATTATTATTATTATTATTATTATTATTGTTGTTTATTGTTATTATTTATTTATACTTTATCAGCATTAATATTTTTATGTTAATATTGTACGAAAATAAAAAAAATATTTTTTGCTACTATTACTATTTTTTTTATTAACGTTGCAAATGATAATAATGATTATAATAATACCCCTATTATTTACTCTCTATTATTTACTATAAGATTAATGTATGCGTTTAATTACTTATTTTATCTCATACACATGAGGGCGTCATATTATAGCTACTCACACACACATCTATGGGTGCACTAAGGTTTGTCTCATGGAACGTACATGGAGCTGGCTCCAGAGAGAAGAGATTAAAAATGTTTGATCAGTTAAAAGAGTGCAAGCAGACGTACTATTATTACAAGAGACTCATAGATCTGCCACATCTGCAGATGAACTTAAAACACCTGAGTTTCCCAGCATGTTCTCTGCAGGGGTGTAGCTATTTTAATACACAAAAACATCAATTTCACAGTATTGAACACAATTTCCGTTCCAGAGGGTAGATTTATAATGTTAAAAATATCTATACAAAACCAAAGCTTATTTATCGTCAGCATATACTGCCCACATATTGATGACCCTCCATTCTTTCATAATTTTCTCTCTGTACTCTCCGAACACTTGGACTATCCACTTATACTTGGAGGTGATTTTAATTTTTGGATGGACACTTTAACAGACAAGCTCAGTACAG